CCCCGCAAGCGTGCTAGGCGCCCTATTGAAGCAACTGGTTTTCGCGCTCGAGGAGATCCCGGAGGAGATATCGCAAGCATACCAAGCCCAAGAAAGTGCCATCGATGGACGGGGGCCGCAACTTTCTCAGATTGTGAAGATGATTCAAACCATGTGCTCCAAAAAGCAGACATTCATCTGCATCGACGCTCTCGATGAATGTGCGGCTGAAAATCGAGACAAGATTCTCGATTCGCTCTATCAGATCCTCCAAGAAACTCCGGGTACTCGGATATTCGCCACCGGAAGACCGCAAGTGCAACCTGAAACCGGAACCCGGTTTGCTGGGAGAGTAACCAGCGTATCCATAAGCCCAAAGAGTGATGATATAATTAGATATCTTCATACCAGGCTAAGCAAGGACACGAACCCAGACGCAATGGACAGCAGTCTGGAGGCAGACATCCTGACGAAAATCCCTCAAGACATTTCTAAAACGTACGTACAAGAAACAACACTGGGGAATCTATCCCAAGTTATCCGCTGACGGATTAATATCTAGATTCCTACTCGTCTCGCTGAACATCGATGCCATCCTACAAGAAACCACAATCCATCGCAGGCGACAAAAACTGAGCGCCATGACCGATGGGTCGGGATTGGGGGATGCTTATGGTGCAACACTGGGTCGGATAAAGGCGCAGGGTGGGGAGAAAGCGAAGCTTGGCATAGCCACCTTGATGTGGATCTCTCACTCGGAGCGACCCCTGAAGCCTGAAGAACTGTGCAACGCCCTAGCAGTGGAAATTGGGTTGCCGAATCTTAACCCCGACAATGTTCCTTCGATTGGGACATTGTTAGCTTGTTGTCAAGGATTAGTTGCCGTAGACAAGGAGGTTTCCACGGTCCGCTTAATCCACCTTACCCTTCACGAGTACCTCCAGGCTCGTCCCGAGCTCTTCGACACAGCTTACTCGATAATGGCCGAAACCTGCCTAAGCTATTTGAATTCCCGCCAGATCAAGGCTCTCTCTGCCAGCCCCTCTCCCAGTCTAGAAGGTACTCCCTTCCTCGAATATTCTTCGTTATTTTGGGGAGTCTACGCAAAAAGGGGCCTCTCAGACTGTGGGAAATCGCTTGCGCTGAAGTTGTTCAATGATTATGATAACCATATATCCCTTAAAATCCTCCTACAATCGCAGAAACCATATTCTTACGGCGTTGACTTCACTAAATCTCTTGTGCTCAGTGGTCTGCACTGTGCATCCATGTTCGGGATCGTTGAGATTGTAGCTGATTTAGTGGAGGTGGAGGGTTGCGATATCAACCAAAAAGACTGCACGGGCGATACACCACTCATGTGGGCTACGAGGAGCGGGCATGAGGAAGTGGTAAAAATACTGCTCGCACGGGATGACACGGAACCCGACAAGCCAGATAACGACGGCTGGAGACCACTCTATTGTGCAGCCCGGAATGGGCACGAGGGAGCAGTCAAGATTCCACTCGCACGGGATTATGCCGACCCCGACAAGCCAAATAAGTACGGCCGGACACCACTCCATTATGCTGCCCTGGGTGGTCACGAGGAAATAGTGAAAATACTACTCGCACGGGATGACGTCCACCCCGGCAAACCAAGTAATCACGGCATGACAGCACTCCACTATGCTGTAGGGAAAGGGCACGAGAGAATTGTAAAAACACTACTCGCGCGGGGTGATGTCGACCCCAATACGCAAGAAAACAACGGCCAGTCACCACTCTATTCTGCTGCACGGAATGGACACGAGGGGATAGTGAAAATGCTACTCGCACGAGATGACATCCACCCCGACAAACCAGATAACCGCGGTTGGACACCACTCCATTGTGCTGTATGGAAAGGGCACGAGAGAACTGTAAAAACACTACTCGCAC